CACAGAGGTCCCCTCAAAATTTTAATCTTACAATCATTTAATGCAGTAGATCTAGATCTAGTCATTATTATTAATTAGACCTAGATTTACGCACTTCAAAATGAATTTACCTGTATCAGAAGGGGGGTGTTGTCCTGCAGTGGCAGCAGATTCAGCAGACCTGTCTAGATCTAGGAGGTTGTTCTCAGGGTCCGAGTCACTGTCACTGTGTTCCACATCGCTTTCACGGGACAAGTACTCGTTGATATGTTCAAGAAGGGCCTGCTTATCGTCTGCATTGCTACAACAGAAATTGTATCTGTTCAGCTGTTGTGCTATACCAGTAACACTGTTTGTTGTCGATCCAGTTTGTAGATCTAAGCCCGTGTCTCGACCTGACGCCATCTTATCGAGTTCGGAATGAGTGAAAAATGAACGCGTTCAGCGTGGTCACAGAAAACTTTTAAAAACACTTGGTTTCGAGGACAATAACAGCACTCAATATGTCCAATGGTTAAATTGATTATTTAAAAAAAGCAGCTCACTGCAAAATATGTCTGACAATTGTTCTCCCAGTCGCTAGAATCGTCAAAGAATTACACACTGATTTGTATTTGCCTCTGAAACAGAACCAACACCATTGATAGGATCTACACTCTTCTTTGTTGTGTGTATTCATGCGCACTTCCTGCAGTTAAAAACTACAAGGAATTACCTTTCCAACGATACCAAATACTCAATATTTATTGCAAGGAATGCTTGAAAAAAATTATGTTCATTGTGGTCTATCGGCAGAAGGAAATTAGCGTACATTTCGAGAAAACTGTCCTCAAATTCCTATGAAGTGGGTTCAGTAAAACAAGAAAAGAACACATTTATATCTCGTTTTAGCATTTTTATTTCACCAGAACATAGAAAAATGGACAAAGAACACAATGAAAGCAAAAACTCAATTTCCATAAAATATCGATATTTTGACTTTAGAAGCCGATATCTCGAAAGCGGTCAGCGCGACTTGCGACTGAAAATCCCTGACGGCCTCACATATGTGTTGATGGTGCTGTAAAACACATCCCACAAAACAAGGATGGCTAGGGATATTGCCAAAGCATTAGAGAAAAAAATATGACAAAAATAAACAAAAGTTGAGTGCAGGTCCCAGGATTCAAACCTGAGATCTCTCGCCTACTTACATGGTATGCCGAATTTGTAACCTTCCTGCCACAAATGTCTCTGTCCCACCTATTGATAATACAGTCAACTACAGACTCAATTGAAGTTAAACATAACAATTCATCGTTTGTATTAATGGAAAAGAGGGGCTGGGGCTGGAGAGAAGAATCAACTTCCACTGAAAATCAACTCAAATCAAGCGAGTTTTATGCAGTCAAGTTATACACTATAGACACTGTATACTGTCTTCCAGAAGTCTACACCACAATCACTCTCAGCAATATTTTTTTTACTTACCATATCCCAAGACGAGTCACTCCTTTCTTTCAAGATAGCTGTTTGTTGGTGTTGGGATAGAAGTCAGGGTAGGTCTGCGTCCTCTCCCACTCCGCTCAAAATGGTCCTCCAACTGCTCATAGGTAGCATCAAGCACATGGCTTGTGTGTGTGTGTGTGTGTGTGTGTGTATGAAATTCAAGGGAAATCACTCTTCTTTTATTTAGCTAAAACCGGGTGTTACTCAGTTCATTACTGTTGATGCACGGTGCATTTGCTTGACTCGAGTATAACAAAATGACCGCCGCTGGGATCGATAACCCGATTTTACCGATGTATTTCAGATCGTTTTTTTGTACAATAGTCTTTGCTTTACAATATGAAAGTAGACATTTTTAGAAAGATGAAAGAACAATGATTGTCATGGTATAATTTTTATTGTAGTCAAACCAGAATAAAATACAAAACAAGGTGTTAGAAACTGACAAAATTTTTATTTTTTTCATGCAGCCAACCAATTTCTTCCTTCCTAGCGTGCGGGTTTGGAATACCTACAAATTGCAAGACAATCTGACAATTGGTTTCTGCGAAATGGTCTTCTTTGTAAACCCATCCCCCAAGAAAAAGCATGAACTGAGAAAAAGAGGGAAAAGTACGAAAATGCAAGAAATTGAACATCACAGAAAAATTTGACGCTCCAATCATGCAAATTAGTAGAGTACATCCATTAACTGTTAGATTAACGAAAAAACAATTACAAGCAACATAAAACGACTTCACACTACATGCATTTTGGTACCCACTATTGCAAATATACCATCCAATTCAGAAACCGCCAGCAGAGTACTGTTCTCCACCTTCTGCATCGATAAGCCGCTGCTCCTCCCGAAGTTGCGCTGTTCTCCTGATGTCCTTCCTTCTCTTGGCAAACCACACTTTTTGATGTTGACGCCAATCGCGAGTCCCAAGTTCTTGGAGAAAGCAGTGTGTTGCCCGAGTGCCTTGGTTGAACTCACCCACTCCAAGTCCTACCGCAATTTCCAACGTCTGTCGACCAACTAAAACATGCTTGGGACTCCGCGCTCAGATGACAGAGTGAACACTTTCATTGGCGTTCTGAGTGTTTCCACCTGTGCATCTGGACAACAGCTCGTCATCAGTCAGGCGGGTGTAGACTGGAACCATGTGCTCCGCGACAGACTCGCTTATAAAAGTTGACATGTGCTTGTCGTGGTCTGGATGCAGCAACCCCTTGGCCCTTGCCTTCTGAAAACAACACCAGGATTCTGTACCTTTAAGGCAATCGTCATGATGTGGCTTGGTATTTGTTGATGAGCAATAGTAAAAGGAAGTCCAGATTGCCGTTTTCATCTCAGCCACAGTGCTGTGTGAACCAACAGCTCTGGTGTAGTATTTCTGGAGCTTCCCGATTTTGGCCTCAGTCAGCTTGCCCTTTCCATGCCCCCCGAGGGTAACCTTCACCTTCTTCTTGTCCTCTACAAGCTTTCTAAGGGCCGTTCCAAGGTGCTTGGCGACGTGGTTCACGCACTCTTTTGAACCCTGTTTTCAGCATATGGCTGGACCTCATTGATCTGCTTGATCGTATTTGGATCACCATGGCAGACCGCACTCCGGTAACGGAAGCCCCTCTGTTCTGACCTCTGCCACAACATGACAGCTGCTTTCTGCTCCATATTGCCTGACGAGCCACTGTGATTACGGTCACACTCATCCTTGTGAGCAGCCCAAAATCGCTCATACGCTTTCCCTTCCAGGTGTGCCCTGACCGCCTTGCACTTGTGGCTGTGTTTGCTCAGCACTTGAAAGTCCACGACGAGGCCAGTTCTGTTTTCTATGACGCAGCCGACTCCTGAATTCGAAGTGTGTCCCCGAGTGTGCCAACTGCCCTCATAGGAAACGTCAATGTCCAATATACCTTTTCCTTCCTGCTCCGGATATGCTTTAGTGATAGCATCACGAGTATCCAAAAGAATTTTATCCGTGCCGGCGACTGACTGCTGGTGAATTTTCTTTTGGTGATTCAGGTAAGTCTTGTGGTGGACTGTAGGCATATCCATAGCTTCACAAAACTTTGCCAGGCCAGCATTTCCCCTTCCATTCACTAATGAAGACGCAATGACACAGCGAATGACAGTGAACACTTTGTCAGTTTTACTGGAGGTGTAGTTCATAGAGATGACTTGCTCACAGGTTGTGCAAATTCGCCGCCTCGCGTCCTCGCGGGGTGTTATGGGAGACCAATCACCGATACACATTTAGCCGATGCCCCCAACCAGCCAATGAAAATAAAGAATACATGTTCATTTCGGGAGCTTATTACTCGGGCTGGGTAATTCGTAGAGTTGTATAGATAAAACATTCGATCGGGCCTTGAAATGCCGATTGTGGGGTTCGGCAGGGTGAAAAAGCCAGTTGCTATGGAGGTTTTCAACCCTTTTTGCATTTTTTAAAGCAAATTTGGGCGGACCCCCACCTCCTCAATAGCACTTTTTTTGGGCACTTTCTAGCCATTTTTCCAATTTCAGACCTAGTGGAATCAGTAGAGGGGTTATTTTCCTGTCAGAAATAATATTAACTCCAATATCAATATTTTCATGATTTGGACGATTTTTCACCCTTCCTCTCCTCCTAGACCCGCGAACGAGGGCCTTAAAGGGGGGGGTGGTCTGTGCACTCCAGCTGCTGCTGCCTCCTCTTCAAACCATGCTTATAGTCCCTGCAAGAGTGGTATATTTTGAGGCAAGGGGTGATATGCAGGCCTGCTTTACATTATGGGCACTCATAGCTTGAGTGTTTGCGCTTCCCAGGTTCTGCTGTCGACACAAGTAGTTTTCAGCAAAATCCATAGTCAGAACAGCCCAGCCATTTGGAACATCTGCTACCAGAGTCCTGTACTCACAGCTCTGCCACCTGTGAACAAAATCATGGAGAGGCAACTTCCCCAAATCAACCTTGAGCTGTTCACACATTTCAAGTAGAGTGCCATTCTTCTTCACCTGGTCTATACGAGAAGACCCATTCTTGCTCACTCGCTCCCATCTCTGCCACTCAACTACTTTCTCACAATCAACTGCATTCACTCCTCATTCATCACATTCACGCCGCATACACTTAACATTCTCACCACAAAGAGTCAAACTAATTAATTCTGACAGTGTGTCCACTGTCGAAGATACAAAATTATTAACAACTTTCATAATCAGCATTGGATTTAAACATATCTCACAAAGACATTGTTGAAAGGGTGTCTTTGTGAAAGACAACACATTTTTGGGCCTCTTTCAAAAGAAAGTCGACAGCGATATAAGAGGCCCATGCTCTGAAGTGAAATCTTTGTACAAAGATTTGACAGAACTGCTGAGGATTTTCCGAGTCCAGTGCTTTGTAGCACCTTGCTTCCCTGGGATGTGAACGGATCGAGCCCGGAAAAAAGCAGCTCCGTCATCTTTTAACTTTCTTCGTTTGTACATAGAAGACACATCAGAGCCAGCAAAAAGTCATTTTACAACAAGGCTTGACCTATCCCTCCTTCTCTTCAAAAAATTACCCAAATCTGGCCCAGGAGTTTGACACTATGAGGGGGAGGAATAAGACAAACCTTGTTGTACAAGTTTCTCGGGATTCTTCTTAAAGAGGGACTTTATAAGACTCTTCAAAGAAGGCAACAATTTCCAACCAAACCTCTTCTTCACTCGCGAAACAGTGGATGCACTCACTCCTGTAGAAGGGGCAGGCTCTCGTGCTGGTGGGGTCTTCGGAAACTGAGCATCCTTTTTCCGCTGCAAATAAGCCCGGTTGCGCTCCCTCTCACGCCTCTTTTTCTGGGAGCTCATGTTGGCGCGCCGCTTCTGTTGGGCCAGACGGTTCTTGGCGCGCCACTCCTCAGTCTTTCTGGTGTCTGCCCGGGTCTCTGGAGGCCTTCCCACCCTCACACTGCTGTCAGCAGTCGCGGCAGCCTTTGCCTTCTGGCGTTGTCTGAAAGACAAAGTCAAGAAAGTGTCATGTGATGGGGAAGCTGATAATTTCTCCTTTTCTCTCTTTACAACTTTGTATTCTGAGAGCAGTAAATGACAATTATTGTGCCAATGCACTCTTTACTTTAACCCTATCTGTACGTCGTGTTTTTACTATCGTATCCATACGACGTGGGGAACTCTGTGCCACCACTTTCAAAGAGGAGCTCAGGCACAAAGAAATTGAAGCTCCATCGGACAGGAATCCCATACTGTGGGTTCTTTCAGAAAGCATGCACTGCACTGTTTTTTGTTGACGAAAAGTGGTCACTGACGTTACATTGTGAGTGACGTGACGCGTCCACCTCTGACAACTCGTGATGAAAAATAATTTCATTCAGTGCTTCCACAATCCAACCAAAAAATCAAGACATGATGACCGAACTGGTAACGTCAGTTACGGTGGATTCTCGGCATCGATTACATAATATCTTTAGGCTTTTTTGTCAAAATTTCTCCACCTAACAAAATCCCTGATATGCCATTGAGTATACAACTAAAACAAATGATATTGCTCCAGCCATATAATTCTTTTACGCCGTCAAAAGTTGGGTAGTGATTGTGCAACAAAATTTGAAGCAGGAAAAGTCTTATTTTAGATTTTGAACGAAAACCCCCCAAAAATCGAAAATATTGTTTCAGTCAATTTTATGTATACTATAAATTCAAGATATGAGCTTGCCATTAAAACAAAGAAAACACACTAATATGATAAGAAAAAGTCTAAAAAGCTCAAAGTTTTCAATGCCTTCTCTGGCTGTCCCACCTTTTGAGAATGAGTCACATACATACAGTCCAGACAACCGTACCTGATGTCCTTCCAAATATTTCTTGATGCACACACTCTGCACTTCTTCTGGGCCTTTGTCTTACAGGCTGTGGCTGGCACACGGTCGATAAAGTGCCTACCTGTCAGTGGCACAGAGTGGTCATCTCCATTGTCAGGTGCAGCTGCCCCAGAAAAAAGCAATTTGTGAATTACATCTTTCTGGAAATCCAGAAAACTTTGACTGTTACCAGCTTTCTTGGCGATGAGATGTGTGTTCAGGAGGCCAATCTGAAGAAACCGCAGACCAAGCTTCTTGTGCCATTTCAAGGTCTTGCGGGTGGCATTATAGGGCTGAAGAAGCTGGTCGTGGCGATCGACTGCCCGCATGCTGACATTGTGGTCCCGGATAGAAGGAGGCTTCGCTCCGTTACCTTGCCGGGCCAGGTGGATGGCATGTTGACAGCATGAAGACGTCCCGTTTGTCACAAAACTTCTGAGCCAGCAGCATTCCACTTACCCGACTCGCCGTCTCCCCTTTCACCACTGGTACCTGACGCTGACAGGGTGGAGCACGGTTGGCCCGCAGTGTACCTCAGCAGGAGATGTTGTGACTGTGTAGGGCGTCGAACAAGTCTGGGGAAGAATACCAGTTGTCTATGAACAGCCAGTATCCTTTCCCCAACAGCATGAGGTGGAAAACCTCTATCCCGGTGCGCCCTAATGCAGCAGCAGCAGGGGCACCAAGTTGTCGATGGCTGCGGTGCTCTCATCCATCCTCGCATACGCACGGAAACGGTAGGTGTAGCTATCCCCGTCGCATAAGAGGAAGGACTTGATGCCGAATGTGGCCCTCTTCAGTGGAATATATTGTTTGAAGACGAGCCACCCCCTCCACAGCATGAGCATCTCGTCAATGGCGATGTCTCTGCTCGGCTTTCACCGCTTGATAAATTGAAACCGTACAAGGAGGTGGTCCAGCAAGGGGCGGATTTTGTGTAGATGATCTCGGTGTGGATCGTTTATGGCTGGCATTTTCCTGTTGTCGTTCATGTGCCAGAACTTTAGAAATAACAAAAAGCGGTCCCTCGGCATCACAGCAGAGAATATAGGGGTCCTCATTATCGGGTCTGTGCACCAATACAAGTTTATGTCCGGTTTCTTCAGAAGACCCATCAGCAAACACATGCCGATAAAACACCTCATTTCATGGGCATCTGTTGGCACCCATCTTCGAACCCGGGATGATGGCTTCAAAGTTGTACTTGCTATGAAGTCATCGGCATACCGATTAGTCTCAACTACGAATGTCTCCTTCGTAGTTTTAATAACATTTCTCACTTTGAAGAGGGGATCGAAACCCTCCTGTCCATGCTGCGGCTGGGGTTGGTTGTCTTTGCAGTGGAAATACTTGCTGAGATCCTTGAAGCGCTTGATGGGCCTGATTGGCCATACAGCGCGGGGTTAGATCTCATCCAGTTTCTCCCGGGTTAAACGCGTAGCAGTTCTATTTTTAGTCCCGGTTTCTCCAGGGCCACACGCTAGAGGGTTAAATCATGGTAACACAACCTGTATCTACACATTTAATATCTATGATGGACTTGTTTTGCTGTCAGTGCTGAAACGAATACTTCTTTTCTAAATTGTTTTGCAGTTATTGCTGGTTTCCTCTGCAGTCTGTAACATATCAATCCATTTATAAGAGCCTTTGCTTTCATGAAAAGAAACACCTGTCTTGTACCATTTATTACATCGGTGGGGTTACTCCAGTAGTCCACCTAACACTTTTTCTTCACTATCCCCATAGCAATCAGTAATGCTGAGTACTTGAACTCTTCGTGTAAAGAAAACTTGATTATATAATAAATTGCTATTATCTAATGCATTTTCAAGCTGTTTTCGACTGTCATATGATAGAACATTGCCCCGAAATTAGTTTTTTCTGGATTTTTTTTTTTTGTACCTGCACATGACCTTAAGCAAAGATTAGGTATCCCGGAAAAACATGTACATGACCTAGTGACAATCAATTTGTTTTTGCTTTATGTACATCTTGGTGTTTTTTTCTCCTGAAAAATACAATGAGATGGTCTTTAGTTTGCACTGGACTTCATTGATTTATGTCTTTTAGTAAAGTAAAATTATGTAATGCAAAGACAGTAATCTTTAGTGATGGTTTTAATAGTTTTATTTTCAAGGGTCGGTCCTCAAAATAGGGGCTTTTTAAAATTCCGATCTCTTTTACAAAATCACCAGTGTGTGGTGAATGTTTGTTGTGGGTGGCAGTTCATTCTCATCTCATGATCTCATTTATATTACAGTAGTCTCCGCCTAGTCGCACGGTGCTGAGGAGGGCGCCTCAGCATGTGTTTACACGGAGAGAACGTGTGTTTACAGGAATCCCGTAGAACGTGGGAAGGGACGCAACCAGTGATTCAACATCTCATTTCTTTGATATCTTATTTATCACCGAGTTGTTTTTGGTTTAGTATTTTTTTTCCGTAGTTTTATTTTAATATTTTTATTCATTTTTTTTTTTGGGGGGGGGGATATGGGGAAGGTATAATCCTGTTTTATTTATTTCTCATTTGTAAAGTGTAATTTGTTTGCACATTCAACATCATACATAATAATGTAATGGACATCTCTTTTGTTCATAAAAAAATACTTTTCATTACCGGAGAAGGACTAAGACTAAGAGATGCACAGCATAGTCCTCAGAACATGCCCATAATTTAATAATTATCTAACCTCCTGACATGAAGTCATGTAATCAATGACAAGGAAATGATCAGACACACTCCGTGATATGAAGAAAAAAACAACAAAAAACAAGTACATTTACATCGTGTTCCTTAGTACATTGTGAGCCAAGGTTTGACATAGGCATCACTGTCCACATTTACGAGTTCGTTAAACAGTTCAGTGCTCATCCACTTGTTCCACCTCTGCAGTGGTGTCAAAGCCTGCTTTGCGGAAACAGTTTCTGATTGTGACTGGTGTCACATTTGTTCTGGCGTCGTGCATCATCAGATAGATCGCCCTCAAGATGGTGATACCGCTAATCACATCTGCTGTTTTTTCTGGTTTCGTCGACATCAAGTTAAGCAATTATAACATTGTCCACAGCTGAACAATACTGATGCTTGAAATTACGTATGATGCCTTGGTCGATCGGTTGGAGGGTCGCTGTGGTGCTTGGAGGAAGAAATTCCAGCCTTATGCATGTAAGCTAAGGGATGTCAGGATGTGCCAAGCAGTTATCCAGCAGGAGAAGAATTGATCGCCCTTGCAGACAGAGAGACTTGTCCCAAGACAATAAATGCTTTTTAAAAATGTCTGGTGTCATCCATGCATTTGCCGAGTTAGTGTAGGTTACAGGCAACGAGGGAGGTCGCTAGGAAAGCCACATGGTTGAGCGTTCTCCCTTTGACTAACAGTTTTCCCTTATCTGTTCCTGACATGTTAGTGCATGTCAGTACAGTGAGTCAGTCTTTCTGCTCCCAAACCCCAATTAGTTCTACACCTTTATAAAGGTAACTGGTATCGGGGAAACCTTTATGAAACAGTCCTGTTTCATCTGCATTGTATACATCTTTGGGTGAGCACTCGTCATGTAGTTGTGCAAGTTTTGTAGTCTTCCGTGCGTTCGGCGGTACCGATATTGGTAGCTAGCTTCTCTCCGTGTTCGCGCTTGAAATTTAAACACATGGCGTTTCTTAAACCAGTTGATCCATCCTTCTGAGGGCTGGAATTCATGCCCCATCTCAGAGGCAAGTTGTTTCGTTTTGGCCTTAAGAATGGATGCATTTTGGTTTCAGCCAATGTTCAGAGCGCTGTCAACATCTTCCTCTTTGAAAGCTTTCTTTCTCTTCCTTGACAAATTTTTATTTTCCTGTCCATCCATTTTAATTTCGGCTCGATTTTCCAACAATCTCGAAATGACAGATCAAGACACCCCATGTTTCCTCGCTGCTTCAGCAAAATTCAGGTCTCGTCCTGTTTGTAAATTCTCAATTATTTTGAGTTTAATTTCGAGGGTTAGAGTTTTGTGCGTTGACGTTCTGTGAGACTTTTCTCTCTCCTAGAACTAGCAGCCTACTTTATTTTACCTGTACGTTTCAAGTTTTTCAAGCGTAGCTGATCAGTTGACTATCCTTAAACCAGCGTGTTGTGTTTCACATGCCTAAACATCACATCATGTAAAGTCAGTGACCAATTCGAGACCTAGATCTACATTACACATGTTTAGTGACCTTCAAAAGCCATATTAATTTGCGTCACCCAAGACACTCGCCCAGTCGTGTTCGTGTACAGTAAGGTGTGAAAAATGCTGTCCATCACTCTCTTTGTTTTTCCGGTGCGAGGGGGGTAGTCTCGCCAACCGGTTGCCTAGACTTGTCTTACACAGGTTGGCGCTAGCTGTGTAGGCTGTACTGTAAAGAAAATTGCCCTTTGTCAAGCTTTACCTGTTGGCTTGTTTCGCAGATCGAAGCGTCCATTGAGACCATGCGTGTTTGTAAGTCTAAATTATATTGTAAAAAACCCACCCTATGACGGAAGCGTGTGTTTGAGCGGAGCGTGCTTTTGTATGGCGTGCGATTAGGCAGAGACTACTGTATCAAGATGACCAATCTTGCAATAGCTTTAACTGTAGTAATATTTATTTGCTTTTTCAGTAGCGTCATTCAGAAAATGGCTGACTTTTCTAAAGTAAGGAAATGCTGATAAAATGTATTTTCTTCTTCTTTCATTATTTTAATGCATTTTTCTGTTGTGTCCTGAGTAGTACTACCTCTGCAGATAATGCACAATATGACCTTTTATAAGACAAAGAAAACCATATTTTTATGATTATTATTATTAGAATTAATCCATGAATTAGCTTGACTGCAGTTTAAGGATATAAGTGTTCATCATTTCGTAGTCTATTGTTTTTCTGTGTGTTGTTAGTATCTGAAGGTGTGGATGGTTGGAGGGTGTCGCTGGTAGGTCCTTCTTCTTTCTGTTTCCTCTTGTATTTGTCCATTAGTTTTGTTTTTTCTTAGCTTTAAATTTCCTTTATTGTGCCAATGTGCTTTTCTTTGCTCAAAGTATTGGAAATCGGCTCTGATTTTAGATTCTTAGTCTTTCAAATGCTTTCTTTTGAGGTCACGAACAACAAATCTTGGGTGGGGTGCATTTCTTATTACCATGTTACCTAAACATGGCGTGTAAGCTGTCTCACAGCCATCTGAGAACGGGGTTTGGGTTAAATCTCGGTATTTCAGATCGCTGTTTCTTTGCTCTTTTGCTATGAAACATTAGATGCTGTACAGCATGAAAAAGGTCCACTTAGCCTCGTTACAATGGTGTAAGTTGTTTACATGATCGAGTATTTGGAGCTGGAG